TAAATTAAATTATTTTAAACCTATCCTATTATAATTAGATTCTTATCACTCCAGCGATCAAAAACAACGGACGTTATTGGGCGATGGTACTTTACAAAGCTATGCATATATTTAGATAAACTAACCGTTAACCAGTGTTATGAAGTAACACTTCATTTAGCGCCGTTTCACAATACATTAGAGTTTAGTGATGCACATAATAAACTTTATTTGCTGTGTGCTAGAGTTGATAATGTTTGCATGAAAGTAAAAGATAACGTATTTCATGTGTGCACTTTATGTTCTGTTTAAAAGTGATTTTAAAATCAAAGATTCGAAACTTTTTGATCTAATTATAATATTTGATAATTATTTTGACAGAGTGGATTTTGTAAACATTTTTCATGAAGAATAAGTATTTATTTTTATTTTTTGCTCTAACTAGATTAAACTTTTCAGTTTTCGACTAGCTAGGTTTTTGTGTTTATTTATCTTATACAAAAATACTTAAAAATGTGATTTAGAAAAGTATTTTTTTAAATACTTTTATAAATGAGAGTGGTTATGTGATTGCAATCTATTTCTAACACAATTTTTTTTTCTAGAAGGGGAATATTAATATCCAATAACTTGTTTTGTTAAAAGACAGCCTGAAACCAAATCAAATATACATGATAATGCTATAAATCTTAAATTATTTATAATATAAGTTATAAATCATAAATTAAAGGGGAGGGGGGACAAAAAACCATTTATGCCTTCATAAATGGTGGACGATCATATTCTGACCTCTTTCGTGTTCCGTGAAAATTCTCCATAGCCATTAAAATGTAAACGAACTAGTTGTAGTTATAAAGAAAACGTGGAAATCCGACTTAGTTATAGGTTTTCTTTTATACTCACCGGTGCTATATGCGTCCCCTTATTCATTTATGCAAATGTATCGCATGCGGGCAATACGCGTTTTTACCTTCAGTTAGGGTTGACAAATTGTATATTTTAGTATTGCAAAACTGCTTAACAATATTATTATTCTACTTTCACTTTATGTTTGCTTTCCTAACCGTAATATTTAAGCGACAATAGATATAAAGGTTATATATGCATATACCTTTAAATAATATTTTTATGAACTCTGAAAAATTATCTATCTTTATAGTGACGAATGAAGATTTATCCATTCGAAAAAAAAAGGCTGCTTTATGCTTTATCAATACTTAACAGACCCATTTTTTTCTTAATTAACTATAGGCTATGGTATTCTCTAATAATGATACTTTATATTGTTGGATTTTTTTATCGGTCATAATTTTTAGTTTATCCATTACAACTAAAAATCAAATCTTTCCCCTTGATAATAATAATAATACAGAAAGTTGATTTTAAATTAAATATTATTGAAATAGGCCCATTACAGTAGTAGTAATTGCTACTTTTAAAATTTCCATTATAACCATCGATTTGGTGTTTTTTTTTATTCTATTGACAACCCTGCTGTCAGCTGTTAGCTGGTAGACGAGAGACTGTTTTTGCAACTCGATATCGTTACACGTTGACTGGCCGCCTTGAATACTTTGAATGTTTTAAGAAGTTTATTAGAATTTATAGTACTACTTTGTGTTTTCAAAGCTCTCTTTTCATTTAAATGTACCGGCGACTTAGATCTGAACTGTTACTTGGATTGATTGCAATAACATTTTTCTATTTAACTTTGATTTCGTCCGATAAAGGTTTGAGTTACATTTGTTTAGGTTTTCAAAATAACCATTTTCGATTAAATGTTTGGTGTTGGTTTAAGTAAATTCGTGTTCACGTTTTAATTATTGGGAAATCGTTTCCTGGTATATTTTATGATATAAATTAATGGTTGTATATTTCAAAAGTTCGAATGAATGCCGGATATAAACAAAATAAAATGTAAAATATATATTCGTAGCAAATCTTTTAAAAACGAAACATGATAATATTCTATTTGAAAATACTATTTCACTATGAAACTACGTTTCTCCAAAACGTAATTTCGGAAAATTTCAAAATAATTATTATCATTAATTATTATTATTACGTGGATGCTTTCTGGAGTTTTATTATGGTTTCAGAAATATATGAAGTTTTATGTTCGGAAAAATATTTATATAACATTTGTTGCACAAACACGACTAAAATCGATTCGCTTTTGTAAATAGCTATGATAACTAAATTAACTTTAATATGCATGCATTCTGGACTGTAAATGACTAAGGAAAGAAAAGAAAACGGGTAAGTTTATTTTATAATAAGAAAATTTATAGCGACAAACTTTTAAATACGTTCAAAATCTAGATAAGTGTCACAGTTAGTACTCATATCACTCGTTTGAAGTATAATCTATGTACAAAAAGGTACTTTCATAATTAAAAACAAAATTATTAATAATACTCGTTTTAAACATAGAAATCTTTTATATTAAGGTGATATCTGATAAGAAGATATTTTGTTTTGTTATAAAAAGAAAACTACTGATTAGATTCGACAAAATTTAAATGGAACGACCTCAGTCTATTAAGCTGTCGAATATACAAAGAATTTTTAAATTTCAATTTTATAATTAAAATCCCTTCCAATCCCACCATACACACAGCATCCTTGTTGCGACTTCACCCGGGTTTTGCCACGGTCTGTGAAGCTCGACCGACCTTTACCACGACTTTTTCGCACGTTCTTGTCGTACGTGATTCACTTTTCATCATCAGTTATCAGCTTCTTCAAAAATAGTTCGGTTTCATTACGCCGTATTAAAGAATTATAAATGAGTAACGGTTCATTAGGTTTCTTTCAGTGAGCTCGTTGTTTTGTGGTCAATCTCCAGTTCTTTAGTTACATCGTAACTACTGATATGCCAATCTTGCTCCAATTTTTCTAAAATAGCATCCATTTTATGCGTAACAGGGCAAACGGAGCAACGTCCATATTTACATCAACATTTCCGGACTGAAAACCCTTATACCAAATTTGTACTTTCACAATTTATTTTCGCGCCTTGCGTTGCATTTTACGTTTTTTGCAATAAAAAAATTATTAATGTATCATATTTCTTCATTAGATTCACTCATTTTGACAGCAAGAAAAACAAATGAAAATCACTCATTTTCCTAATTTGAATTCGGAGTTATCTTCTTTACAATATAAACTTTTTAATGATACCGAAACCAGCCAGATATATATGTTTAGCCATAAATATTTTATAAGTTTATTTATTTATACTATATACGAAAAGACCCTTTCCCCGACCTAATATTTAAAATGATTTAAATCAGCTCATTATACATTGTCGTCTAACATGTATCATACATATACTGAAAATTCAATAAAATCGTATAAATTTTCAGTTTAATTTAGACATTGATACAACAAATTGGCACCAATATGAACTGTAATTTTGAATAACCTTTAGAATTCGTCCACTGTAAAGCAATACTTATTGCAATATACATTCTTACGACTTACGCTATGTAATAAACTTTTTCAAATACCCTTCGACCTCGCATATTGTTACTTGAATACCCAAGTATTTTGGTGGCGAGCCAAATGTGATGCGGCATCATACGCTTGCACCACCCGTCAGCAGTAAATCTTACTGAATCCCCTACTCAAACAAATATTCCAGCTTAACCAGCTCCCATCGCTATCCTTCGGGAATTAATAAATGAGTGAATTTGTGTTTAATCGGAAGCGAGCTTCTTTAGCTTTATTTATTGTTCTAACATCAGTTCCGAGTAACGTTTGTGTTGATTACCAATCGATGAGCGAGATTAAAATCAGATTCCTTTTATTATATGTATTTATGAACATGGTTAGGTAATCGCTAATATGTTTTATGAAGTTCAACATTTATATGGAAGCAAGTTTTAGCTTTAAAAAACTAAAAATAAGATGTTTTCAATGACGCTACGTTATTACAAGCTTTTATTGCAGTGTATATATACGTTCGCCATATTTTTTAATTAAATTTTAAAGCAGTTATCATTAACTGATTAAGCTGAAAATTTGAATATTTTTTTTAACTACATACAATTAATAATCATGATTGAAATCTTAATAGTCCAGCACAGTTATAGGATTAATTTAGATGAAAAATTTCAAATATAACTATGTGACGCATAACAAAGTATTTCTATTTGATTCTGGGTATAATGTAGATGTAGAATTTACAACAAACTATGGCATTTAGGTTTTTGACCGATTAAAAGAGCTTGTCACAGTTTGCTATCACACTTCGTAAAATTAAAAAGCTTACTCTATGAACTATATTATTCCATAGATATATAGCAGTTAAATACGGTGCTCTGTTCTGTTTATAAACAAAAATTAAAGCAGCCTAGAGAATAATAATCTATAATATATAGATATATATTTGTTATTTTATGCGCGTAACCATTTTTTTTCTCTATTAACAGATACCTTTTTGACATTGAAACAACGGCACGGATTTATATCCAGATAATGTTCTTATTTAATCTTTATATTTGTGGTCTTCCCGTGTGCATGCCATGCTTGACGTGTTGTTTTTTCTAGGCATGAAATAGTATTATTAATATAAATTTAATATTATTAAAAGTTAATGACTTATAATATTTTTTAAAACATGGAAATTCATTATTACACTAAAAAATTATTGAAAGTACTGTGAAATACACCGGATAATTAATAAAATTGTGTAATTATTAAAATTTATATTAAATATCAAAATGATGATGATAAACTATACATGCCTAAAACTACTTTTACAAAGAGACTAAACAAAACAGAAAGTGGAACAGTTTTGGAGGATCAGGCTCACGGTCGGCGTTTACTGAAATACGTAACGCACTTGAAATATATTATTAAAATAGTCGAGTTATATAAATATAACTAATGAATGGAAACTGAAATGTAATAAATAAAAATGGCAAAAGTGACGGAAGTAAATGTGGTGTTGTTTTGATGATTTGCCTGAGACAAATTGTCGACGAAGCGCCTGTTAATATTGGGGTCGCGACCAAAATACATGCCGCGACTGCGCAGACGGCAGTAGGCGGCAGGCGGCGCAGGCGCCGACCGCTCGCACCACCTCCCGGATTCAAATGTGCCGGCTCATTTACTGACGCTCTATATTTAACCGCTGCGACCAGATATCTGCATGTTCCGCCAAAACCTAGTTATCTTAAACATACCAGTGATGTGAAAATTGATATACAAGTGTTGTCTATATCGTCTTCAACTGAAAATGTGTTGAGTGGAAATAACATGTGCTCTATCTAATTTATTGTAGCATCAGTAGATTATATATTCCGTTTTCTTTTAACATCGACAATCGTCGTGAGTATCTTGTGTCTATTTTTCAATTTTTTGACATTCTGCCAAAACGAGTTCCAGAAAACCAGAATACTGCTTGCGTAAAGTTATTTGTGATATTATTTAATTTGAGTGAAACTATTTCAGAAAAATGAATCCTCCGTCGGCATTATACGGAGCTATGAGTCGAGATAAAAAGCCTTTTACTTATACCCCGGGAGGGTTGGATCTTTCAGAGATCAAATCTGAACGTATGGCAAAAAGATTAATGAGAAATGCTATGAATCAAGGTGTGCCCGAAGTTACTATTCCACAAGTACAATCACCACCAGCGAATCCAATGGTTGTTCCAAACTTTAACTGCTTACCAGTTCAGGTCTTTCCAACAATTAATTTACCAGCCAATCCAAAGTCTTTATTACGTACTAGAAGTAACCCAGAGCATCCAAAAGAAGCACTTGTTCAAAGAGTACCTCAACAAACAATATTATCTAAACCGAAAACAGATGAGACTCAAAAGAATTATAATTACTCTAACTATCAAAGACCTTCATCGATGTATGAACCCAATGCAAACACTTTAACAAAAACAAATAATAATAATAATAATTTAATGGAATCATATCTGCCAGAAATTAGTTATGAAGCAGAATATTTTCAGACAGCGCCACGAAATTATTCAGAAGATAAACAAGCAATAGGTTTTCAAAACAAAACTAATATGGAATCAGTTCCAAACCATTTTCAAGAAACTATTAATGATCATAGTGCTAACAAAACAATCGTAAAGGATACCAAAGAGAGTCGAATTAACAATGAAATTATAGAAAGATCCTTATCACAAGTTGAAAATAAAAGTGAATCGACACAGGCGATAAGAAAAAAGAATAATGAAGTTAATTGCGAGCAAACCAAAAATTTATTCGAACACATAGACTCGAGAGAAAGTCACATGGAAAAATATTTGCAGGCAGATGTAATAATCGACAATAACAGTGGTTTACAAAACAAATCAGTAAACATGACTCCACATTTTAGTGATTCTTCAACTGTTCTAGATTTTTCTATTGAACCTCTAACCATTAATGCTTCACCAACAGAATCGATAGAAACAAAATGCTTGATAGAAGAATCAAAATCTGATAATGAACAGGTTGTTGTATTTTATTTTCACCTTGATACCTTTTGTAGGGATTTAAATATCAATAGCAAATGTTGATTTAAATATCAATAGCAAATGTTTAAACAATTTTTAATAATATATTATCTTCATTTTTTATTTTAACTTCACTTATTTCATGTTACTTAATGGGATTAAGGATTTAAAAATATTTTTTCTTTTTTTGAATACATGCTTAATTGTTGCTTTTTCATTCCAGAAAGAAGTCAAGGTGGTTAAAAAACAAATCAAGAAAGAAAGTAAAACTGAAATTCAAAATGGAGAACAGAATGGAGATGCTGCCGTGGAGGCGGAGCTTACAGTAAAATTACCTTCAAAAAAATCTGCTGCTAAGACTGAAACTAAAGTGGAAGTTGTAAAAAAACAATTACCCGATGGCAGTATAGAAGAAATAAAAACAACTACGACAAAAACCACAATAGATGGCAAAATTAAAATATCTACTAAGACTGAAACAACTATTATACCAAAACAAGAAGAAGAAGAAGAAGAAGTAGAAGAAGTGGAAGAAGAGGAGGAAGAAGAAAATGAAGTCGCTGAAATAGAGGAAGTTAAAAAAAATAATGCTAATGAGGTTGAGAGAAAAGAAGTTGTCGAAACGGCAGAAAGTCCTGATGTTGATAAAAAGAAAGATTCAGTAATTACTACTGAAGAACGGTCCGAAACTCAAACTACAAAGAAAGTAACTGTTGTTAAACAAGAACCTGAAGAAGTAGAGGAAGAAGTAGTTGAAGAAGAAGAAGAGGAGGAAGAAGAGGAAGAGGAGGAAGTCAAAATAGCAGAATCAAAGCCAGTTGTTGTTGAAATGAAGCCTAGTAATCAACAGGTTGAGGAAGACGATGTTGAAGAAGATGAAGAAGAAGTGGAAGAGGAAGTAGTACCAAAGAAGCAAGAACAGGATTTAAAAAAAGTTGAGGTTAAAGAAGACGAAAATGTGGAAGAAGAAAAGCAAGAAGAAGAGGAAGAGGTATTGGAAGAAAAAGAAGAACAAAAAGTAATCAAAAAGGAAGTGAAAAATGACGTAGAAGTTGAGGAGAATAATGAAGAGGAAGAAGTAGAAAATGAGCAAAAAGTTGAAAAAAGGGAAGTAGTTAATCAAAGTAAAGAAGATGAAGAATCAGAATATACCGAAGAAGAATATGAATCTGAAAAAGAAGAAACACCAGCAAATGAAACTAAACAACCAAAAACTGATGTCGAAGAACCGAAAAAAGAGCCCGAGTCACCAAAAATAGAAGAAAAGGAAGATGTACCTGTTTCGGAGGAAAAAGAAAAGATGGCAGCAGAAACTGACAAACCAGCAGAAAAATCAATACCGCTTCGGGAACCTTCGGTCCCTCTTGATAAAGTAGAAGATGTAGAAATTAAACCTATATCACTTAGTGGAGCCCCAATAAACGAATCTTTTACAAAATCTATCACAAAAAACACTGAAATTACAACAACAGAAAGACCAACCGGACCTTTGAGTACTCAAACTGAATACAACAGGATAGAAAATATAGTAACAGTGAACCGAACCACAAAAACTCTAGATCACTCATATGAGCAACTTACACAGCATGGTGTTCCAACTGTAAAAACATATTTTGCTCCATCTAGAGAAAGAGTGTCAACTTCTCCTCAACCTTCTAAACCATACCAGCCAGTATATCCACCTTCTTCAAATCAACCAACTGAAAGGCGTCACAGTTTGCTTTTAGAAAGACTAAGTACCGAGCGACAGATGCCTACATCCGATATTTACCAAAATTATCAGTACAATACCCAAAGTTATGAACAGCAAAAACAGTGGTCTCAGGAACCTCAAGCTGAGGTCGTGACTGTTAGTAATGTAAAACCGAGTAAAATCACGAACCAACAATGGTATCAAAACCAAGATAATGTTCTTTACAATAATGTTGCTCCTACAACTCCTGCTAGTCAAATTTGGAATCAACCTTCCTTCCAAACACAGCCTTCACCTCAACCTCAATCACAACCACAAACTCAAACACAATATCAGCCTTCATATACAGATAACTCTACCAATACATATCAACAAAATAATTATCAAACTTATACACCTAAACCCACATGGGCTACTAGTAATTTAGTTAACAAAGATACATTATCCAGTTCAATAAATAATCAAGAAAATCAGTACTCCTTTCTCAATCAAAACTCATCACAGTCATATAAAAATACCACTGAACAATATTCATCATCCTATGTTCCTCCTCCATGGGAACAGGATGCAAGATATGTACCAGATACTTCAAATCAAACACAGTATCAACCACCAACTCCAACTACATACACTCCTAATATAAACCAAGGATGGAACCCTCCTCTGCCAAAAAGTAAATACAGTAAAACACCTCCGACATCTTACATCCCACCTGCACCAAATCAGTCATTTGTTAAGCCCGTAAACACCGTGGAACCACCTAAAGTTCCAGGTAAGAAAACCTACTATAGCGAATATGAACGACGTTATATAACTGTTCCAGAGAGCAATTATGTCCCTGGAGAAACTAAGTTCCAACCTCAGCCTGATCCATCACCTCAATATTATTACGATAATAACGAGCCCACTGACACTGTAGAGCCTCAATGGCGTAAGGAGCTTAGAGAATTCACAGAAAAAACTTCACAGACGCAACACTCTGAGCACATTTCTGTAAAACCACCTTGGGAGGAAGATTCTACATATGCAAAAGCGCCTCCTGTGACGTATACACCTACACCTTCGTGGAGTCAAACATTAAGGCCACGATCATGGCGCGAGAGAAGCTTTGAGTCGGAGTATGTTGGATCTCAAGAAACCCAGAAGACAAGTACATTGGGAAGGGGTCGCCCTCTTAGTAGTTATGGAAAAAGTCAAATAGAAACTATCCCCGAAAGGCCCAGAGGTGTTTCGGTTGATAGGTACAACCCGAACAATTATCAATCTCCGATTCCTGCAGAGCACCCCCCGGTGCAATCGCACACCCTAAACGTGATTCCGCAGGCTAAGAGCTATCATAATCCCAATGTGCCGGCTTATCATTCGTCTCGTGCTTCAGCTGAACCAAGGTAGGCATTCTATGAACTCTCTTTTATATTCTTCAGTATATAATTATCCTTACAGTCACTTTGATTGGTATTAAACTCTTTCTGTTTTCACTGATCAATTATTATTGAGATTTTCGCTTATTAGTATTATTACTTAGATTGATTTAGAAGTTTTCACATTATTACTGACCTTTTTTATCATTACAAAGCAAAGTCATATTTTTTACATTTTAAATTTGTTTTGAACGATTCTATAGTTGTGTTTTTTTTTAATTTCAGAGAGCAACCAGTAGTCTATCAACAACCACGCCAACATTGGGGAGATTCTCGTGCCAGCCCGCTTCAGTCAAGATCCTTTAAATACCTCCAGTGGATAACTGGAACAGACAATTAAAAGTTAACAATCATTAATTTTAAGTCTTATGGTTATATTTATAAGTACTCCTATTGGCTACTGCTACTACTGTGACATTTATTTTAAATTCTTCACGATCCTAAAATTCTTCTATGGAATTTGAAGTGATTTTGTGAAGCCAAAATAGTGTACACTGAAATAGCTATGTAGTAGATATAGTTGTTGTAAGGTTGTAAAAATTCGAAGGCAACGAACAGATCGATTGAATGTTTGTATAAGATAGTGAGTAAGCTTTTTATCTTTATCTTACGACTGTAATTAATTTTTCCTAACTTAAATAATATTTAATATTATCAATTTAAATCGGACCTATATGTACGTACTAAAATGGGTGTTGATGATTTTAATAATCATGTAGATTCTTTTTATTGTAACCTTTATTGGTACTGTTTCTTAATGTGATATTTCTATTAAATTTGCTAACCTAGTCAACGAGACATTGATTGTCGCTAGTCTGTTAATGTAATTTTGAACCTTAAATATTTGCATTTCTGCTTGAGTTTTCTTTTAACAAAGTATGTTTATTTAGTTATAAGTATTATGATCATTAATTATTAATTTTGCGTGTACGATGTTACATTACGTCTTTTAACTAAAAACGTTTCATGTGCATACTTGTACACGGTCTACGCTTTATTTATTTGATGTAATTTATTTTTGTCTCTTCGTTTTCTCATTGCTCTATTGTGTGCAATAGATATATTGTTTCTATTCAGATATTAAATTATTTGTTAGACAGTAAGTCATAACGGTTTTTTATTAAACTTTATGTTATCTGTGTCATTACTGTTGATTTTTGTTTAATAAAACTTAAAACTTTCTCTTATGTATTTTTTAAGATTGATGTTCATGATTGGTTGTGGAACAGTTCAAAACAGGTACAGAATTATTTGATTTAGGAACGCATCCATAGTTTTCCTAATCTACAAAACTATTACGTTAACTGCTCCTTTTCTAAGCTCTCCCTACTTTGTAACAATATTTTTTAATCAACAACTAACAATTTTCAGAAAAAAATTAAAGTTATTTTTTCTGAAAAAACAAAGACACGAAGGTATTTAGTATCATATGATATTTGATCAATTTTGCATTCACAATGATATACTGATATTTTATATAATATACTAATATGATCATTTTAGAAGTTACTTTGCTTTCATTTTATTTCATTTTTCTCGTTTTAACACAATTCTTTCATTATTGATATAGACAGGTATAATAGGTGCCTTTATAGTCACGTGGGTCGGTTTCTTATATGAAGTGTAGGATTGATTATATTAATCCCATGTGTTTCTATGCCACGTGAGAGGGGTCTAAGGTAAGCCTCATATCCAATCTATACGATCAGGGCTTAATATAGGGAAGATGACCCGGTTTTGGCCATTTTAAGGTTACGACCTGATATTAACCATTTTTGCCATTTATTAGCCAGGAAGTGAACTTTGATACACCTCTATCAACGGTAGCAGTTTTGCTACAATGCAACATTTTAAAAGAATTTCACGGTAAAGTAATATGATATAATTTCCTATGCATTGGAATAACTTGAAGTGCTAAATGACCAGAAAGGGGGCAGTAGTCTTCCGCACTAGTTTCATCTTTATACTAGATATTTTACACGTACTCAAAAAGGATAAGGTCTGAAAAGGTAGCTTTCATGCTATTCAAAAAGTAAAACTGCTTCCAGGTATTCAATTGTGAAAGATAAAATAAATGCATAAAACATAAAGGAGAGCGGAATTTTTGAAAAAAGTATTAATGCTGTTGATTTCATAAAAAAATATTCACATAAATTTTGATGCTATTTCACATAAAACACAAAAACGAACCCTAAAAGACAGCATTAAGAACTTTTTTTATAAATCAGATTTTTTTTGTTCCACATTTTCGTAGATAATCCCGCATAATTTCCCGTTGCAAATCCTTTTAGCTGAATCACATGCAAGTCTGCGGTCACGTACGGGCACAAATAAGGATATACGCTTACCCCCTCGCACACTTCACCCCCTTGAAACCGTAAAAATTCCTCTTTAGAGTCGTGGAACAACGAAACGCTCTCTTCGCGAGCTGAACTACTCAACGTTTAGACCACGTATCCGGTACATAATGTGGAAAAATTTTAAATGCACCTCCTGATTCACCTGAGAGGGTGCGAACAGGTGTCTCAAATTTTTCTTCTTTATTCTGAGAGCTGCCTAAGAGCTAATGGAAATTGAACTTTTCATTGTAATCCACTATGAGTCCATTTTACGTTGTGTCGTGGTAAGGAAAATATTGAAAATTCTTAGCTATTGTAGTGACAACTTTTGTTTTTTAATTAAGAGTACGGAAAATATGTTCGTATAAAATATATCTTGACCACGAATGAGAACGGAATTGATAATTCGTCACTGAATTGTGTATTGGCCTATCCTATGGACTCAAATCGAATAGGAAGAATGGGAATTGTCATCACGTGTGAATTGGTAGGTTTTAATGACTCCGGATGGAAGCGGGACCAAAAGCTTAACCTTCCAAAGGAGCTCAGGATAATAAATTTTTAATCACCCATCCTTTCATCGAATCATGCGAAAGTTGCTTAAAATATGCATTTTCAAACTGAACGAGCTGATCATCATCACTAGTGCTATGGATATCTGATATAACAAAGGTTTATATCAGAAAAACCACTACAATCAGACCCTAGACAAATGATCATTTTATTCTTTGAACCGACAGGGAATCAAACCCAGAACCTCAGAGATAATGACATCATGAAACCGGCCAGCCACTCGGCCACTGAGTTCGTTAAGATGGTGGTTTCAATGGTTTACTTAAACCTTGATTTTATCAATAAATAGCTCAGTAAAATTGGATTTTTATTTAGAGACGAGAAATTAAATTAATTTTAGTTCATTTTTATTATAAGTGCCAATAATACCGTTTTGTAATTATCGCTCTAATAAAAAAAATGCGATTTCCTATTGAACTGCTTAAGCACTTGGTTGTTTTCAGATGTAACTTCTGAAACAGGCGGATTGAGAAACTTGAAGTTTACGAGTTGCAACAAATAAACAAATTTTTATTTAAGAAGGTTAAAAGCGTATTTCTCATTTAACTCATTTTTGCGATTTTAAGTTAAAAGAGCTATTTAAGATATTTTAGTCAAATGTCGTAAGGTTCACGGATACCATTGATTACTAATTTAATTTCGCATAAGTATATTGAGAGGTCATATTGTAAACACATCAGTTTGCGGAAACAACAGTTTAGCACAGCTGGCTTGACGCCAGATCATCTATCATTGCTGTCCTGATGTTATTGCGATCCATTTCAAGTGTTAAGCGGATCACGTTACTGTGTGTCGGAGCCATAGTGAAACAGAGTACTCGTTCTCTGAGAACTCTAATATTATTCCTTAAAAACATCATCATCATCAGCCCTTTTACATCCCCACTGCAGGGGCTCAGGCTTTCCTTATGGATAGTTAAGGAGGAGAATGCGGATTGGAGGGTATTAACGACTGCAAATACAGCTTGGACCAACGACTCAACGTGGTTTCTGAAGCACTAAGCAGCATGATATATTTTTTTTGTCACACATTCCGTGATCGAACGAAAGTTGCTTAACAACAACGATCGCGGACCGCGGCATTTATCCACTATGCAACCAAGCTACTTAAAAACATATTTTAAAATAATTGATAAAGCTACGAGGGTAAGGCCTTTTTAACCCAGAGATATTGCGTTACGCACCATCCCTGCCGTTTGGCGTGATGGAAGTGAAATACCCACTTAAAAACCTTCTTTTTATGCGTCGGGAAATAATTTAAACATAGTCCCTGCTGCCTGGCGAGTGGCAAGAGGCTTGCGGGGCTTCCCTCTGTCACTGGATGCCTAAATGCTCTTCGTTGAGAGTAGCTCCGTGCGTAGTCACTGGGCTAACATGAGAACGATATGGGCCTGTCTCTCGATATGCACGAAGAAAACTTTAGAAGATTGAAAAAAGATTTGCATTTTGATGACGCCTAGAGAGTTTAATCTGCGCTGCGGAGGTTATGCCAAATTTCTCAAGATCTGCTCATAGCGTGGGTGACCAAATCTTGACGGTCATAGCATGGGTGACCATATCTTTATTATCTTGCTGGTGGCAAATCCATACTAATATTATAAAGAGGCAGAGTTTCTAATTTTGTTTGTTAATTGGGAGTAATCTTCGGAAATTCTGATCCGGTCATGCAATAGTTTCTCCCACGAAAAGCTGTATGCGTGGATGACATAGGTTATAATTTACGCTGGTGAAGTCGCGGGAGTTCAACTAGGATTTTATATTTTTAGTTCACCATCGTAATTTAAAGACCATAAAAGCGCCAAAATTATTAATAAGAATACAATGCAAAAATATAATTGAGAGGTTACGCTTTTTATTTTTTTCTAGTTCACAATTACAATGTTTCTCGTACGGAAGTTCTAATTCCAAAGAAGTTGCGCTAAAAGTCTTGTTTATATTGCAGTGTTGCAACTAATAAAAAAACATGTCTGTTTGAAATGCAGTGACGATGAGATGAAAACCAGATGGCCTATTATGCAAAATAGTCTTTTCACATATCATGGGTACGGTGACGTATGGGGTTTAAAGGTGTTAGCCATGTAGTAATAATACAAATATATATACAAAAACTCGATATTATCGATTTTATATCTAATGGAGATAATTGATTTTGAGGTTAATGTATAACACAGGATTTAAGGAAAATATTTATTCCAAACAAAATGAACCCGAGTCAGAAAGTCATAAAAATTTACTATAGTCAAGTTTAATTGTTACGGAAACAATAATGAAAAAAAATGTCAAATTACTACCGAACATATTTACGATTAAAACGATTTTATTGATGCGAACCCTATAAAAAAGAGTTCCAATTCGTAATAAGTATTGATGTTTTAAATTTTAGAGGGTTAGATGTCACTAATAATGTCTATTAAAAATGTATATGTGTTTTATTATGCATATTCAAATTAATATGTACGAGTAATATATGCTACTATATTTTATATCCATGGTTTTAAATTATTTGGAAATACAAATTGCGTGAAATGGATTTGTTAACCAAGGTCACCGTAAACATGCCATGTGAAACTTACTTTAAATGTGGTATAAACACTTTTTTCTAATTAAATTGTATTTTTATACACGAATAAACTCGATTTAAGTTCAAAATCAAATTTGACAGTGATTTTGAGCCAATAATGGCAATAAGTGAGAAGATATTGTCCGATTATTGTGTGATTTTTCAAGATGGTAATTTAATTCTTGAAAATTCATTTTATAGATATTCAATTTTACAAGTAAAGTGGTGGTTTGGTGGAGCGAAAGCCCCGTTCCGCCTGTCGAATAAATGTATGAAATCTTGAATCAACTCTTAGTAACAATAAAAGTAACTAGCTGTTTAATGTGATAGTTTGTACATACTAAAGCATTGATTCTATCAAGGACTAGCTGTTTCCCCACAATTTTGCTGACGTAAATTATAGTCTATAACATTAACGTGATCAGATCAGTATTTCCGAATACAATGTTACAAATTTTATTTCTTTATAATATTAGTAAAGATGTGGGTCAAGGTAACAATTTTAGTTTAATTTCTTGGTTAATTTCATTTATGATAAAGAAAAGAAGTCGTTGACCGATTACTAAATGGTATAATGATATGTTCCTTTGCATCCTGAAAAAAAGAAAATTAGAAAACAAATTGAAAATAATAATAAGACACATTGACAATTTTATTGTTATTAAATGTCAATTTTTACTCACAAGCGCCCTTTCACACATTTACTCTGA